AGGGGAGCTTAGTGGGTATGATGCTGGCTCGCAAACCTGGAACTCCCGTATTCGCTCGCGTTGTTGGCCGAGAAGGTTCATCTGGTAACCCTTTGTCAGTGGTGCACGAGAGAAAGTGCGAAAACCTGAGGTCAATTGGACCTAAAAGAACTCCTTACAATCGGAATTCGAAATAAGAGTAGTGCTGATGTCCCTGATAAAATACTCTGATGGCAAACTGTATTATCTCATCCCAGTAGATGCAGATAGATGTTCAAACTCATTTCATTTCATTTCATTTCAAAATAAATGTTTTTTCATGCGTGTTTGGTTCATAACTGCATAACTGAATGCATCATAATGGCATATCCATGCACTCAATCCTTCCTTCAACTACCAGAGATGACTAATATTGGCGTGACTCAGTCAAAGATTAAGTACAAGTCTACGTTCCAGAATATCACATTTTATGGTATTCTCGAACAATGATTCAGTCAATGATTAGGCTAATCAAAGTTTATAAAAATCTTAGCTTAAAATTAAGGCAGTTTTTTAGAATATGACTGGTCAGAATATCGGAGATTAAATCTATGATTAGCACTAATCTACTTTCGAAAATAAGAGCCCAAGTAATTATCAGAAAATCATTAGAATTTATTTGGTTTTTATAAAGTTCTGCCCCATGATAACGTTTATTATACGAAAATTTAATATCATGGATTTAGCTGTTCAAGTTATCAAAATTCATTTAAAATCAATATACTTGTTCGTCTCAAGACCTTAAACTCTGTGAATCAATCTTAAGTCAAATCGGATGATAACTTTAGCCTCTAGAGCGTCACAAGATTTTTCAAAGTGATCAAGGGCTATAACTTTGGCAGTAATTATCGGAAATTGTTGAAAATCAATAGGATCCTTCGTCTCATGACCTTAAACACTGTGTATAAATTTAACGTCAATCAGATATTAACTTTGTCCTCTTGAGCGTCCACAAGATTTTTCAAAGTGATCAAGGGCCATAACTCTGGCAGTAATAAAATTATCGGAAATCGCTGATAATCAGTAGGATTCTGCGCCTCATGACCTTAAACACTGTGAATAAATTTAAAGTCAATTGAATATTAACTTTAGCCTCTAGAGCGTCCACAAGATTTTTTGAAGTGATCAAGGGCCATAACCCTGGCAGTAATTATCGGAAATCGTTGAAAATCAACAGGCTTCTTTGTCTTTATGATCTTAAACACTGTGTACAAATTCAAAGTCAATCAGATATTAACCTTAGCTTCTAGAGCATCCACAAGATATTTCAAAGTGATCAGGGGCCATAACTCTGGCAGTAATTATTGAACCTCTTTAAAAATCAAAAGGCTTCTTCATCTCATGACCTTAAACACTGTGTGTACATTTAACGTCAATCGGTTATTAACTTTAGTCTCTAGAGCCGGATGAATCGACGGACGGGGGGGGGGGGGGGGGGGAACGACAATATATGACCACATATTGAGGGATATCACATAAATCATGATATACTATTCAAAAAAAGTAGGGGATATTTGATTTTGGGGGCATAATACTAAAATATGCAAATGACTACGAAAAAAGTCACTATAGAACCTAACAGAAGAAACATTTCCAGTTACATGTGACGCCCAAACGCACCAATAGCTACCGCATGGAATGCAGGTGATGCTTGGGATCATCATGGGGGTCCAACCCAAGATTTGCACGACTCTGACTTTGAATGTTACAGTCATTGTGGCATTGAATTCCAGGGTGGAAACATCAGTTTAATTGTTTTAGTGACCAGAAAACAAATTTTGATATGCGTCGGCTTACCCAAAATGAAAGGTTACGTGCCCTTGGCATGCTACAGATTGGCACAACACAGGCGGTTGTGGCGCGGACGATGAATGTTTCTCAGTCTGTCATAAGCAGGCTATGGTCCAGATACCGTGATACACAATCTGTACAGGACAGACCACGCTCAGGTCGACCAAGGGCGACAACTCAAGCCCAGGATCGATTTATCCGTACCTTGGCCTTGAGAAATCGTGTCATCACAGCAAATCAGATCAGCGCTCGTCTTCAAACAGACACTGGTGTGAGAGTGAGTGGCCAGACGATTCGGAATCGACTGCATAGGGGTCACCTTCGCGCCCGACGTCCTCGCGTGATCCCTTGTTTGAGAGATCATCACATTCAGACAAGACGTCGTTGGTGTAGGGATCGTCAACACTGGGATAATCGACGCTGGAGCAATGTGATGTTTTCAGATGAGTCAAGGTTCACTGTTGATTTTTTGGACAGACGTAGGAGGGTGTGGCGTCGTCGAAACGAGCGCTTCCAAGACGTTAACATCATCAGACATGATCGATTTGGGGGTGGTTCTGTTATGGTGTGGGGAGGCATCACTGTTGCTGGAAGAACGGCTTTACATGTTGTTGCAGGGCGTGTTACAGGCCAGTACTACCGGGACATCTTGGCAGTCCATGTTGTGCCGTTCGCACGACGTCATGGCCAGGATCGTTACAGGTTACCTCCAACAACAGAACATCAACACATTACCTTGGCCAGCACTGAGTCCCGACCTCTCCCCCATCGAGCATGTCTTGGACATGCTTGGACAGAGGTTACGTCAACGTCAACAACGTCCTGCCAATGTCCAAGAACTTGCTGCTGCGTTGCAACAGGAATGGGACAATCTGGAGCAAAATGACCTTAGACGTCTCATTAGGAGTATGCCACGTCGGATCAATGCTTGTTTGGCAAACAGAGGAGGATTTACCCGTTACTGACTTGGTTGTGATGCTGTGGTAACTTTGCTGTTTGACCCCGGGTATCATTTTACCCTTATAATGGTCAGTCTGTGCCTTACTTAGTCTAACGATCATTTGGAATAAATCGATGAATGTGAACTTCATTTCATTTTGTCATTTGTTTCTTCGTCAGTTTCATTAGGTGACTTTAATAACACTTAAAAATCAAATATCCCCTACTTTTTTTGAATAGTATATAACAAATGATAAAACCTAAAATCAAATACTTCAGAGCGGTGCCTTAGCGCCACAAGTTTCATTTTTGACGCAAATATCTTTCTAGGGAGGAAAACTGGTCAAGCCTTACATTGCATTGTCGGTGTACTACATTTCATTGTCGGTCGGGGTTGGTGCTTTACATTTCATAGTCAGTGTGGGTACATTACATTTCATTGTCAGGGTGGGTACGTTATGTCCTTGTCAGGGTGGGTGCATTTTGTCATTGTCAGGGAGGGTGCATTTTGTCATTGTCAGGGAGGGTGCATTAAGTCGGGGTGGGTGTGTTATGTCATTGTCAGGGTAGGTGCGTTATGTCATTGTCAGGGTGGGTGGCATTATTTCATTGTCAGTATGGGTGCATTATATTTCATTGTTAGGGTGGGTGCGTTAGTATTATTGTCAGAGTTCGGGTGTGCATTTACATGTGATCATCTTAAAAATGACAATAATAGATACCGACGGACTAGTGAACTGGCAGACTAGTGCACCCGTGGACTAGTGAGCATTTGCCGTCAAGACATAGCTGCTGTGTGGGCGTATTTCCACACCTTGTGTGGCTATCTTTATTTTTGATATTGTGATTTTCAAGTAGTTATTGTGTAGAATAAAGATTCGTTGACAAACACCGAAACATATGCCTACTTCAGCTAAGTATCTGAGCAGCAAGTCCACAAAGACTGTTGCATGTTTATTCTTTTATAGGTATTGGGGTATTAAAAAAACACTAAAATCTGTTCATAGGTAACAACCTATTAAATAACAATTAGAAATAATTAAAATTTGACTGACTTCCAGTTCTTCCAAGTTCTAACATTTAAAATACAAAATATGTACTGCTAATCAGATTATAGATTCTCTATCAGGTTCACAAGCCAATTGTTGACAGACAGATGGACCGACATGGAGACTATATACACCCAAACTATGTGTGTGTGTGTACAAAAATTGATGCAGAAATGAGCTTTTTTTGGCCAAGTCTGATGGTTTAAAAGATGTGATAACCCAGATCATTTCCATTCCATCAATATTGGGTGAAAGCCAAATCTAATGAAAGAATACTGAAAGTGGGATTTAAGCCTATTTGCTTTGTATTACCAGCCTCATAACAAATAATTAACAAATAAAAATCTAGGCAATCAATAAGTATATTGTTTTCAAAAGAATGCATGTTTCCATTGAATATGATTGCAGATAAAGATGTTTAAAAAAAGACATTAGAAATATCAGGTATGGAAAATAAACTCTTAAAGATCTAATCAAAATGCTGAGGAACAAAAAATTTAAACTTCTGTAAAGAAGTTAAGAAAACAATTTATAAATTCAAAACTTCTGAAAAATTCCTGGTTATTCAATGTTATAAAAAGTTTAAAATGGGCTTATCTTACGTTGTATGTTTATTACAATAAACAATATAAAATTAGATGTATGTATTCAGAAATATTTTGATACTAATTTGATGTTGAAAAGCAAATTATATGACAATCAATTTAAAGGACAATATTGGTGTCAGCCATTATCACATATGTGATAGAACTAGTTAAACATGTTCCAAATATAATTTTAACACAGGTCATTGCTAGATAGATGTGTAACAAGGTTTCAAGAAACACAAGTGACAAAAGCAACAGGAAACCACAAGTTATCCATCTACATAACTGACTAAAGTAACGAGCGATAACAGATACACCGGCAAATTTCTATTCAATGATAATTTCTTCAAAAACCAAAAGTTGTTATATGAGACTGTGAGAGGATATCTGACAATCCGAAAAAATAATTGATTGTCACTAGATAACAGAAAATGAGAAAAATAGCAATAGCCTGTGCATTCCCTTGTTTTTATTCATTCTAATTTCTATACTTAATAAAAACGAGGTAATGCACAGACTTTTCTATTTTTATCGTCTAGTGACCGTCAATTCTTTTTATAAATTTTCAGATATCTTCTCACAGTCTCATATAAAAAGTTTTGGTCTTCAAAGGAATTATCAGTGAGCAGAAATTCGCCCATGTATCTGTTGTTGCTTGTTACTTCAGTCAGTTATATAGAAGGATAACTTGTATTTTCATTTTGCTTTCATCACTTTCATTTCTTGAAATCTATTGTAGCAATGATCTCTGTGTTAAAATTATATTTTGAACAAGTTTAAGTTCTATCACATATGTGATAATGGCCGACACCAATACTGTCCTTTAAAAGCATATTAAATATCTACATATTAAATATTTATTGTATGGGATTATCAAGTTAATACAGGTTTTCCCCTGATTCTATGTATTATACATGTATAACTGACCCCAAGGAATACATCTTAAATACTAATCAATATTGCATTCATTTGTAAACATGGTTGTTGACATGCAAATTTAAACATGTACATAACATATCTATTGCACTTACATTTATACAGGGAGAAAATTATGTACAGTTCCAATAGATGACAATATTGGTTACTTGACAAAAACACGAAATGGGGTTTAACGTCTTACTTGTTTGCACCAACCGATCTAGAGGACATATGCCATGTGCTATGAGGGTAAATTTTACCCGACAATGGCGTTTCCTCCTACTCATGACCTCTAATTTAGTAGCACTTCATTCACTGTGTCACCATAGCATTGTATACAATGCAGTTGTAATATGTACATAAAACATGCTTGAACTGGGCACCAGCTAAAAAAATATTTCATACTTTTTATATAAAATTCAGTTTCTTTTACATCCTATTATAGAAATATTATACAGGACTAGTTACACGTACAATGTAAGTTTATAAACAAATGACATTTTTACATCTTAATGTATGCACACACAATAAAACACTGTCAGCACGTTTGATTGAAGAAAAATACGAAACATATTGGGGATGCTTGATTGTCAGTCCAGAACGTCCTGAATTTACAGAATTGCAATCCAGTGACCTGGAATTCAGACCTGTCAAAATTCTGCCAGTCCCCACACCAGAGGTGGTGTGAGTAGAATCGTAATGTATAATTAAACACAACAGATATGTTTCAGCTGTAACCCATATTCCACCCTTTCACTCCATTGTCACCCTTCTTGGGATTGAGACAATTCAATTCCGGAATGTTCAATCGAGTATCCCCATACAGTGCAGATCAAATTGCTATATTAAAACTTGTGACCATGTTCAGAAATGAAATTCATAAAGGGGCAATAACTTTTAACAATTAATCAAAGCAATGAACCACTCTCCTTTTAACAAGTTGCAGCAAACAAGATTAAGTTGTTCCTGGTTCAATTTTTATTTTTGTTTTCTCGCTTTCTGATGTTTCCTTTTCTTTATCTAATTTTGCTTCCTGGTATTTTTCAAATTGTTTCCTCCATGTCCATAAAGTACTGGAAGGTATGTCAAATCTTTGACAAATTGGTGCTATACCAAACTGTGCTGCCAATTCTACTGCTTTATGCTTTTCTTCCTGGGAGTAAAAATTATAGGTGCCTCTTTTCTTTCCTGGAGCAAACATTGGTAATTTCTTGCTTTGATCAGCCTGTCCTTGGAGATTTACCCAAACTACTGTAATAAATTATACCATTTTTTAAAACTAAGTTCTAGAAAAGTAACAGCATTTGAAACAAACACCCTTACATAAATAATCACAGAATCATTTGTCTTCTTAAAATTTTATACAAATACGAATTCACATACAAGTGTACACTTCCAATAACTTGAACAACAAATGACTTGAATACCACACAAATTAATCATCCACTTTGATTATTGCAATCTGTCTTTCTGTGAAAATAATTTAACTATTCACAGAGAACACAGACTTGAATTTTTGGCAATAGATTACATATAAAAACACACACAAGACACAAACATCATTTAATTGTTGGTTTCATATTAAGTAAATATTGCACTAATTATTGATCAATTGACTGTTGGGACTTCACAGTTTTCTTTAACTTTTATAAATAACACAATTATAAAATAAAATTGTCATAATAACTAATGCTTGGCATAAATACTGAATCATAATCAATAAAATGGAAGGGCATCTGTTAATTTAATATCTGTCGGTAACGGAGGTAATGGAGATTTCACCATTTGCAGATCTTGTCCTTTTTGACGTATGTTACGTCCAACAGCTGTACGCCAAGTAGATAAAGTACTAGCTGGAATATTAAACTTTACACACGTTGCCTTAACACCATGAATCTCTGCTAATTGGACAGCATTCTGCTTTTCTATACTACTGTAGGAATTATATCGCCGTCTTTTACGTGATACCGGTACCAGTTCATTAGGGTGCAGGTTAATTTGAAGAGATCTCCTGTGTGGTACAGTTATTTTATTTAAGTAGGCTGAAAGAGCAAAAGCCCGAGAATTATGGCAGGTTCTAGTAAAAGTGTAGTGAAAATATATTTAAGCTTTATAGGATTTTATAGAATAGGATACATGCACATTAATTTAATGTGTTTAAAAATAAATTGCTTTTATTTTGAAATAATTAAGGTCAAAATAACTATATTTTTGTCGGAATGCTGCCATTATTCTGCTTTTCAGCCTACACATGAACACTGTACTAGCCCTATTGCCTACATGTATATCATTCAAATATAGAGATCAAATCAACTGTAGCCTGATTTTCAAAGCTTGATTAATCAACCCACACCAACTAATATCAATGTAACAGTCAAAATAACAAACAAAACCTGATACAGTAACAAAATAATACATGTACCAGTAACAAATTGATCAATTGTACAATCTCTGAATGTCTAAAATTCCTACATTCAATTTTCAATAAAAACTTACATACTCAAGAGTTAGAAAATATTTTCTTTTGAAAATAATACTTACATCCATCTGATGTTCCAGCCCCATCCAATGAAGTATTTAAATTTCTTAATAAACCGACTGGAAAAATACTACCATCATCAGAGCCAAGACCTAATCCCTCGCCAAAATGAACAGGAACATCATCTCCCAAGGAAGCTGAAAGAAAAAGAAGACACACAAGTAAGTATTATTGAAAACAAACTGGAGAATGTGCTCACATACGATATACAGCATAAAGGCTATCCAGTCTACTGTAAACATTTAACTTGATTTACCTCCCTTTAACACTGAAAAAAGAACTCACTGTAATCTAGGAGGATATGATGGTTTTACACAATGTACATGTACTTCTCATTTATTAAAACAAAAACGACCATGCAGCCCTTTTTAAGTGAAACAGCAGTATCTGAGAACCTAGATATTTTGAACCCTTTTTGCACCGATATTTTTTTGAGAGGTCCAACTTTCACGATATTGTTGTTTGCAATGGATACATGTAGTTCCTTTAATCTTCTAAAATAAATTCATTACTTTCTTACTTCCAATGTACTACCTGTAGACCTACAATTATTAGAGAGGTTTCTCAACTTTACAATTTCAGTTAGACGGTTTTAAACGTTATCAGTTTTTGTGATGTATGACGTGAAGCACACATCATAAAAGTGTGTCTGGCGGGTAGCAGCCTCCATAACTGTAAGTTCACTACACTTAGCTAAATATTGTTTAATTTCTATAATCCAGTCTGTAATTGTTCTCTGAATCGTGGTTTTCGCGACCTAAATCTACAAAGAAGACCTTCTCCTTCATGTAGTGGGTTGGATGGCTGAATGGTTAGTGTGTGTGTGTGTGCATTGTATCGTAAGGTCTGTCGTGGTTTCGATTCTCCAATTGTTCATGACAAGGAGTAGGGTTACCTGTCCAACCTCATGGGTTTTCTCCAGGTACCCCAACTGCTAAAGACCTCCTACGCGCAAGCGAATTACTGAAATGAAATTGAACCATATGTTCGTCCCGAAATGACTTGGTTTGTATCAAATGGATGTTAAATCCCATTTCTCTCTCTCTCCTTTATGTAGACAAAATGAGAAGAGGCTGAGACAAAATATGTGCGTGCTTTACTAATCTAATCTTTAACAATCTATCCATAATGAAGGCTTATCGAGATCGTGGACCAAGTTTGTGTCACCAGGTCATAATGTAAAGTAGTTGAGAAACCTCTCTATTAAAACATATACACTAACAATTTACTTACACTGTGAACTATCATCAGTTTGAGGTGTTTTAGGCTTTGGCTTTCTTGACAAAATTGCTGCAGATGTTGGTCTGGGTTTCATTATTTTGGGTTTTTTGGATGCTATATTATTGCTGCTTGGCGATGATGGCTCAACAGGTTCTAATTTCACAGAGGAAAAGTCAATTCTAGTTGTGTGATCGGGTTTACGTTTACGTCTTGATGCCGAATTAGAAGCATCAACTGTATCTAAACTTTCCTCGACTGGTTCTTTCTTTATGTTTTTTAAAATTTCACTCACTGAAGTAAATGCATCTGGTGCCACCTTGGGAGCTAAACTTACAACACTGTCAATTTTAGGAGTGGATACATGTATACTTATATTTTTTGTTTCTGATTTTGCTTCGGTGTTCTTAACATCACTCTGAGGCACTGATTGAACATTTATTATTTTGGGCAAGAAAAGTGGGGACTGGTCATTTTCTGTAGGAATACTAGAACTGGTTTCTGTTTGAATAATTTGAACTTTTGGTGTACCGGTAGATCTGGATGGTGTAGAACTGGAACTTTCACTATCTTGTGGAGATGTGAATGGCTGTTGCGTATTGATGTAATTTTCTTGTTCAGGCTTTGCTTGAAAGCTGTTACTTGTAAATGATGGGTCACTTGAGTCTGTTTTCGTGACTATTTCATTGAGAAAATAGTTGTATTTTACAGCATTATCATCAACATTCAAGTATATGTGTCCTATCACTTCAATTTTCTTGCTGAAAGGAACATGGCCTTGGCACAGAAATTGTAGATTCTTAATTAAATATTTCATAAAATCAGACTTTTTCATATTAGTAGGATTACTGCTACTCTCTTCATCCATGATTTTTGGTCAAACTTTTTAAATCAAGAAGTAATCATCAACCCTGTAAAAATACAATTAAAGATGAATAAAGCCATAAATATTGATTTAAAAAATAAAGACATAAAATATGACACATCAAAAAGTACAACAGAAATTGATACCTTTGCAAGTTTAACAAGAATCCATAGTTATTTGTCAAGTGTTGGTAAATGTTACCAAAAGGGCTTGTTTCTAAATTTTGGATAGATTATCATTCATTTATGTAAGGATAAGAAGTGTTTGTGAGGGTTGGTACAGAAATTGTTAGCTTAACATAAGTTTGTAGGGAAAATTCAGTTCTATGGAGTACCATTTGCAACATAGATTAAACACTGTGTGAGTGTGATTGAATAATATTGAATAAAAAAATAAATTGCAAAATATTTTACTGTAAAACTAAAAGATGCATTCCCACAAAAGCATTTATGGGGTGGTTATTTCCAATAAAAGTATGGCAATTTTGGTATATGGAAAGTAGATACACCCAATCTTACTAGAAAAATTCTGGATTCCCTGAAAATTATCTCTGGAGCGTGCACAGGACAAAAATGAGAGGGTGTCACTAATTATCAGCCTGTCATCAAGGAGCGCTTAATGTATATGTCATTGTTGATCAGCATATGATAGTGAGCAGGTGATAATCCAAGAATTTACTTAGGATTCGATATTTATGGTAAATGGACAGCGATTAAAGAATACATCATAGTTTATACACAATGAATTCTCCTCCAGCTTGGCACCTGTTGCTAGTTAACGTGACCGCTGAGTCACTTGACACAAACAGGGGCCTGTTTCACGAAATTTTATATAAGATAAAATCCAAATTTTAGTAATTTGATTGGATAATATTAGATTGATTTTAGCGCTTAACCAATCAAAATTGAAGAATCTACTAAAATTTGGATTTTATCTTCAGTTAAGATTTCGAGAAACAGGGCCCAGGACTTCTTTCATAGATTTTTTATAGCTTGGCGTATTTCCTCACAAATACAATGTTTTGAGAGGGATTTGAAGCAATTTTTTATTGATTAATTAGTATGAATGTATCATCAAACCAACCAGTTTGTATATGGGAAGATATCTTTAATAAATATTTCCCATGTTTAATAATTGTCAGATATCTTTATGCTTTCTGGATCAAGTTTCAAAGTGTGAATTGAAAAGTCATAAAAATGATAACAATGTGTGTATTCAATGCAAAAAAGCAGTTTTAAAAAATCTTGATGCTGTTTTACCATTTTCCATATAGACCTTAAAGCAGGTAAATCGCTAATATTTGGGACCTAGAAATTGACACAAATGGATCTCAATGCATATAATAATGTACTAATATGAATCATAGGCGTACGGGGCAATTTTTTACTGGGGGGGGGGGGGGGCGGTGGTGGTTGGTGCCCAAAAAATGTAGTTAGGTTCTTAGTATGTTACATAATAATAATAAATTTGCTGTTAAATTGGACACATTCAAGAATGCAATATTTTTTTATACAACTTTTACAGAGTACAATTGTGTGCCCAAATTTTCCCAGCATTTGGTGCCCAAAATGGGGGGGGGGGGGGGCAGCCGCCCCCCCAGCCCCCCAGCTCGTACGCCTATGATATGAATGTATATAAACAGATTTACATTTAATCGTTTCTGTTTTTAATGTAATTTCTAACCAGTTATGTTCGGCGAAAAGACAATCGCTAGCGTCTGGTTATTCCAATCTACACCAATAGTATTTATTGTGCATGCTCTCCAGATAAAAATATGACGTCACCGTTCGACATGATTTGTGCAATATGTCTAGCCTCGTTCTTCGAGTCCCTTGTTACAAATTGCACTGAAACACATTATGGTACACAGTAAAGCGTTTATTTTGTCTTAAATATTAGATATCAGAAGCCCATCTTTTCCCGGTAAGATCACAACATCAATGTTGATTTAAATTGACAAATAATTTGTGTTTTCAATGTCGAATACATTGGATGATACTGAGACTTGGCTACTTTAAATATTTAATCCAGATGTTTGTGATGGTACTTCATACAAAAAGTCAAAAAGTAGACAGTTTGATTATATGGACTTGGTGTTCTAAAAGTAAAACAAGATAGTTTTCAAAATTTGAAGACTTTAGCATCTCTGTAAGCCTTTGTGTTTCCCATGTTGTGCTGTTTACTCTGTAGCTGCTGAATGATACATTTGCATAATATTTTCCAAAGTTACCAATTCCAAAGTCATTATATTTGATTTTGATTTTCATCTATTTTTTATTGTTCAGTATAAAAGCACATTTAGATACCAAAACATGCACTAAAACTGTTGCCTTGTTGACTACCCCCCCCCCCCCCCACACACACACACACACACACACACATTAAGGCGTTGTGACAATTGTTTTCGCTGTACCTTGCCCTAAAAAACTGTGGTCAAATTGAAAAATAAAATGGGGTTCTGGTGACAAAGCAATATAAACGAATAATTCTGATTATGACTTCATCCCAAAAGTTATTTATTGTAAATCGCGAAATTAATTGACTTGGCCTTGTCCTTCCTGACTGACTAACTGTTTAAAATGCCATTTTGATAGCCACCTACCGCACGATTACATCTTGGATCCCGTGAACCCGGTCTAATTTTGTATACAGAAATAATAACGAAACATATGCAATTCCCTAATTCATTGTTAACAAATGAATACTGCACGAACATATCTATTGATTGTCACCGGTACTATATTAACAATGGCCATTTTCGGATCCTTCGAATAACGAAATCACGCATGATGGGGCCAAGTCAAAGATGCGAAATAGTTTCTTATACTTCTTGCAACAGTTCATTTCTCTACATGCACGACTGCGTTAAAATCACTACAGCCACATAATTTGTGATGAAATCAAACTTACAAAATTTCGCCACAGATTTGTAATTTTACTTATTTCGACGACCAGTGTTCTCTGTTTTGGTAAATTCGTCAATCGGTGCCCTATATCCAGCGCGTGCTACACAGGGGAGCAGACATTGCTTGTGTTTACTTGCAAATTTCATAGAAGGTCACGAGCTCATTAATGTTGTGGATTTAATATTCAAAAACTCTAATTAATGTCAGTAATCTAACTATGTAAGCATCTATAATTCTAAAATAAATAATACCGTTCTTGCAACGGCTAAAATAATATCGGTGACGATATACAATAACCGCTCCCTTCCCTGGCAAGCGAAATTATCGAATCATTTTCGGTCCATGCGAAATGTTGATGTTGGGTACTAAAACTATTGATCAAAATGACCATGTCATAGATGGCATTTAGGATTCTTTATAGTCGGAAATCATGCTATTAATTTTAATTCCTGTCGTGAATACATGCTGTGACTGTAAGGAATATTTTGAACTATCGAAATGAAACGTACCGTTACTGTGATATACATTCCACAGACATTAGCGACAAGACGTCTTTATTGACCAATGAAAAAGCAGAATGAATGTCCCGTGACTATTATTTAGGCCAAGTAATTTTATTCGTCGATTATTGTTCACGCTGTAAATGCTGTTTTTTGTTTAAACTGTTTACATAAAGTGCGAGATACAAGCACAAGCAAATGTGTACAACAAAGATTCTTTGAATGATATAAGATAGAATTTCTTTGATATTAAACATCATTCCTTTTTATAGTAAGATTGTAAACTCCAAGTATATAAATCAATTAAATGGGGATTTGCAAAGTAGGCTATAGTTTAATTAGTACATTTTAAGGAGAAAGCAAGATTTATAAACAAATCTCTGAAGCATTGACTGATTTTATTAATTTCATTTAATATCTTACATTTTTAATAAACAGATTTGACTCTAATTATCGAAATCCAAACACCAATTATAAACACTGTGTGAGCATAAGAAATCCTGTGAAGGTATATAATGTAGGTGCAGAATATATTATCTTTTTAATTCCCAGCCGGCCAGGACGATGTCATTCAGTTTTGCTCATGAGTCATAGATATCCCAGGCCTTTTCTGGAAGAAGAGTAATGGCAGACTAAATTTCCCTTATATCACATGGCATGACTTTATTAACCTATTTGGTGCAGAAAAGTAAGACAGTTTCATTCCATGTGCTTCTAATTTCACCTATATCACATGGCATATATAGTATTCATTAATCTACTTCAGTACTTGGCCCAGAAAAGTTTCATTTCATGTGCTTCTAATTTCCCCTTTTATCACATGGCATATACATGTATATGCAGAAAAGTAAGACTGTTCCATTTCAGGTGCTTCTGAATATAGTTTTTTTGCATATTAACTTTGGTATGAAATCGCACATTTCTTTCCAATTCTTGTGCTGTAAAATGAGACATTCTAAAATGAGACATTCTTAATGCTTTTTAAACTTAATATTATAGAGACTGGTAAATGAATATGTCTAGCAGCAGCAGTGCTAATGTAAAGCCACTACCAAAATGGATGTTGAAGTCCACCCAAAACTCGGAAAAATCTACTAAAAATAATAAATCGGGGAATAAAAGCAGTGGATCTTCTGGATCATCAGTTCCTAGAAAAAGGTAAGCTACAAATAAGCCCAAAGTTGCAATAGAAAAAAAGGAGAGAAGTTTAATAATCAGCGAACACAACGGGGTCATTTCGGTATAGTCTTTATTTAATAACCCTCCATGTTTTAGAGCTCTTTTAGGAGGAAACTCCACATCCTGTTTATTTATATGTACGATGTAGGCCTACACCATTCAGGTTAAGTTGCAATACTAAACATGCTTCCATTTTACATTTTATTAAACACAGGGAGCTAAATTTTAATATTACTGAAAATGTTTAAGATTCTACATTGAAATGGAATAAAAACTATTACCCTGGGACTTTATTTACAAAAACTTTTGTTTGGCTGGGAGCTAATCTGAATACAGTTCATACCTATATTTTAATACTTTGTTTTATTTTCATTCCATACTGTTTTCAGATTCTGTTAAGGCCTTGTACCTTTTGTGCAGTAGAGGGGTTTATGTTCACGATTTAGTTGAGGAAGCTATTGCTAATGAATTAGGTCAATCAATGATGCATTAATAAAGATATCAATCATTATGTTAAATTCAGTTATGTTAAAGGGGCATTTGGTAAGATTAGATAAAGAGCTGACAGTTCTCATTATAATAGTTAAAATAATAGATAATGAAAACAGAATATGCTGGAAATTTCAGTCAAATTATTTCACTCTGAACCAAGATATTAGGAATTCAATTTTAGGTTAGCCTCGATTGTCATTACTAACGGTACAATAATAAACAGTGTCTCGATTATCATTTTTACATTAAATTAGCCATCACGAAATGTACTCAAATCCACTAAATATCTCAGGCTAACGATGGCATCATCGAGAGTTGATTATGATCTGGATAAGTTAATTAATGTCTAATTAATAATTTAGATGAATTTCAGGCCTAAAGAAAGACCTGCAATAGGCAGATTTAACTCTTGCATAATGCATGGTTAAATTGATTTCTGCTCTGTCTCTGAAGAACATGTATTCTAAAAATATATTTAAAAAAGGTCCTTGGGTGGTCTTGTGTATGCATTTTATTTACCATACATATTCTTTATTAAGATTACGGAAGACAATATACTGTATGACAGAAAAAGAACTATTGGAAACAGCTAAAGATATATTGAAACAGGTTGTACAATCAATAAGTGTATTTACATATAATAGATATTCCAGATATATATTGTTTGTAATACGTCTACACACCAATTTAATAGTCAGCTTCAGCTTTTCTGACTTGACAACTTTCAATACAGTTTTTCTTGAGGAAATCTTCTTGATTTATAAAAAAATTTTGTTGAGAAAAGTGATTTTTTTTTTTTTAAACACTTGATAATTATACAATAAATTGTATAACGCATGTTCATTTCTCATTTATATAGACTAAGACTAGTGATTATTTCCCCTGATTTCATGATAGACAATGTAGTTTTTCTATATCAATTCTCTTTCTCTCCCCCCCCCCCCCAACCCTCTTTTGCATGGAATTATTTGTTGACTTTTTGGTCTAGATTCGAATAAGAGTGGTTGAATTGACACTATCTGCCAGGTTTTGGTGAATATTCATGAATTTGGAGGCCGAGGAATCAGCATGTAAACAAAAATTAATTTGACCTGTAGTAGAAAAAAAGGAATTGAGAGAGTAAACCCCCTCTAGATGTGAGATGTTGTGCTCATTGTATTTGTAAAGAATTACTAGTTTGAACCCAGATCCCACTTGGATTATCTCCCTTTAGTCTTCAGAAAGCTATTTTTGAATATATGTGTAATATATTTTAATCACATGTATTATTTATGTTGAGGAGGAAGTATATGTTAAGTTCTTTTTTAACTACATAAAAATATTCCATTTCAGGCTGGAAAAGAATTTATGATCGACGAATCAAACAGTCCTGTCAAGATAAATCAGTTCGGAAAAAGACATTACGATTCCAAGAAAAGTTCAAATATTGACATAAAAGTGTCGGATGAAACCGATGATAATGATACTTTTGATGATCTGTTCAGTACAGAGAGTAGTGAAAGTGAACCTTGTGATCCAATTATTACAAACAAAACTGATCAACCAGACACTAAAAAACAGAAACCCGATTTATCCATCTTAGATGAAATATTTCTATGACCTATAGAGTACATACAACATTATTATTTTACTGGATGTTATCTTAATACTTGTAACTAACTTAACATGATATTATTACTCACTCTACGTGTATCTCAATAATTCATTTAAACATAGACATAGGTTTGTCCGGCCACTTCATATGGGATGAATAATGTCTATATTTTACTTCATTTGAGAAGTCTAGGCCAATAACTGAACACTTATGGCAGATTGAGTCCAAATTAGAATTCATCAGATATCTTATCTTACAGACAGTCGATCAATGTATTATCATTACACGCAACATAAATCAAGTGACAACAGTATTGTTCTGAAGACTGATCCATTATTCATGCTCCTAAGGTGGGTGGTGCAGAGTGAGCAGGCCTTTTTCAAGATAGGTTATAACGAAAAGTTTTCATTAGTGTGGAAAGTTTTCGTTAGTGTGGAATTTTTTTTTTTATATTTGCTGTAGGAATAAAGTTGGTTATTGTGAAAATTTCAGGGTAATCTGTTTTTATACGCCCACATTTCAGTGTGGGTGAATTATGTCATCACCCATATCCATCAGTCCATCAACAATTTGCTTGTTAACACGATATAGGCTTTAGTTTTTAAACAGATTTTTTGTTCAAATTTGGTTTTATGCATTTGGGTCAAGAGAGGATGAACATCCATGACTTACAGTCCAGAGTTATCCCCCCTTCTGCCAAAAAACTTACTGACGTAATAGATACTAGTTTTTAACAGGTTTTTTAAAAAACTTTGATGTGAAGGATTGGGGTCATAGGTAGGGCTGTGTCGATATATCGATACACCGATATGTATCGATACGTTCCAGCGATATTTATATCGATACATAATATCGCCGTATCGTTAAAAAAATTCTTCAGTTAAGAAAGACCACGAAACCCACGTGGCGAAAGAAGACAATTTCGGCATGGTTTGCCAATCGAGCATCTTTCACGCTCCGTATGAATTAATAATTATTTTTGTTGAAGTCTAGTTATATTAAAGGGAATGGAGCTTATAATTAACCCATATCCTACGGGACCTCAACTGACCCAATTCTGGCCGGTCCGTTTCAAAATGGATTAAGAACCCTGATGCTTACCCATCTCAAACATCTTGAAACAGAATGTAGTTTGAGATTATTTTGGGCATAATTCGTGATGTCAAAATATTGTGATACGTATCGTGTATCGGTTTGCCGTATCGTCAATACGTATCGTATCGAAAATGAAATGTATCGACACAGCCCTAGTCATAAGAGAGGGAAACCTTCCATTCTGGAGTTACCACCCCTTTGTGAAATGAAATGAAATGGGGTTTAACATCCTACTGTTCTGCTCCTATACTGGGCTAATGAAAACGGGCACTACGGCCTACTCTTTTATCGAATTCCAACTGTCAAGGAATTTTTTACATGCACACAGGACCTCGGTTTTCCGTCCCATCCGAACGACTAGACAGCTGTCCTTGTCTGGCCCTCCATCCTGTATCACTGACAAGGGGGAACCACGCCGGAAAATCTGGATGGACTTTCTCGGCCAATGCTGCGATCGAACACCTGACCTCCAGGCTAGCGAGCCAGTGTGTCTTACCCACTTAGCCACCCCCACCCCTTTGTAAAAAAACAAAACAAAAAAAACACCTAGGATACACAATATGTTTTTAAAAGACTTTCTTCAAATCTGGTAAAGCATTGGGGTTCACAAGAGGACAAACACTATCGACATTCAACATTTCATGACCTTCAGTTCCAGAGTTAGTCCCTGTTAGAAGCGATAAAAGTCTACTACAAATTTTAACAGATTTTGTGTGAAGCTTTGGCTTCATGAGAGGAAGAACTCTATTCAGTGTTCAGCAACCTTCAGTTTCGGAATTACAGTCTTGCACAGATAGCAATATGTTGTATAAATGACCACAAACACATTTTTTTTATAGAAATACAAATATTGCAAAATATATTTTGGTGCGACGCAATTCTTAATATTCAGAGTTTGACAGAGTAGTGAGGCAAAATGAGGTTCCGGAGGCTTGCCGCTTCAAATTAAGATAGGTTGCCAGGCAACGAAACATACGCCCACAGCAGCTAAATCGTCCGGGCAGTCAACAAGTGTTGTCGCATATTTTTACTTCTTTCGGTAATAAAACATTTATAATACACTCATGAAGTAATTATCAGAAAACCATTAGAATTTGTTTGGTTTTTAATATCATGGCTTTAGCTGTTCAAGTCATAAAAATTCATTGAAAATCAATATACTTGTTTGTCTCAAGCTCTTAAACTCTGTGTATCAATCTGAAGTCAATCGGATGATAACTTTAGCCTCTAGAGCGTCACAAGATTTTTCAAAGTGATCAAGGGCCATAACTGTGACAGTAATTATCGAAAATCACTGAAAATGAATAGACTTCTTTGTCTCATGACCTTATACACTGTGTATAAATTTAAAGTCAACCTGATATTGACTTTGGCCTCTAGAGCGTCCACAAGATTTTTCAAAGTGATCAAGGGCCATAACTCTGGCAGTATATATCGAAAATCACTGAAAATGAATAGACTTCATCTCATGATCCTAAACACTGTGTATAAATTTAAAGTCAATCGGATATTAACTTTAGCCTTTAGAGTGTCCAAAAGATTTTTCAAAGTGATCAAGGGCCATGACTCTGGCAGTACATATCGTAAATCGCTGAAAATCAATAGGCTGCTTCGTCTCATGACCTTAAGCACTGTGTATAAATTTAAAGTCAATCGGATATAACTTTGGCCTCTAGAGCGTCCACAAGATTTTTTTGAAGTGATCAAGGGCCATAACTCTGGCAGTAATTATAGAAAATCACTGAAAATGAATAGACTTCTTCGTCTCATGACCTTAAACACTGTGTATAAATTTAAAGTCAATCGGATATTGACTTTAGCCTCTAGAGCGACCACAAGATTTTTCAAAGTGATCAAGGGCCATAACTCTGGCAGTAATTATCGGAAATCGCTGAAAATCTACAGGCTTCTTCGTTTCATGGCCTTAAACACTGTATATAAATTTAAAGTCAATCGGATATTAACTTTAGCCTCTAGAGCTTGTGGACGCCGGACGGACGGACCGACGGGGGCGATGACAATATACAACCACATTTCAATGTGGGCGTATAAAAAGGCTCAGTTTGCAGTTTATCAGTCCAGTAGCTGTAGCTTCACAGGTCAGTGACCGCCCTAGACATTCGCCAATTCGCCAATGGCGACAATTATTTTTATTGGCGAATAAAGTGATGATACTGGCGAAAAATTTGGCGAATGAATTTTAGAGAGTGTTATTTCGTAAATCTGCTAATATTAAACTTGAAATCGTCTCGTTAAACGCTTCTTTCGATCGACTCGATGGAGTGTCTATTTTTAGTACATTAATTACTCTAGTCTCAATCTTACAAGTCGCAAATCAGTCAATGTTACAATATTACGCATTAAAACGACCGAAAGATCGAGTCTGGAGACTATAAAACACAGTTACGCCCCTTTTGTGTGGCACTGCGTTGTTTACATTCGCTTCACTACAAGTTTTCTTTACTTACGCAGCAAATAAATAAAACGCACATTAATGACAACTAATACTAGTAAACCCAAAATAAGGATAGATTCCTTTTTCCTTCCTACGACTACTGTTAGTCCAGAATCTACTTCCGTGAGTGAGCGTGTCATCTCGGACGCAAGTCCTTCGTTGGCTTCATCAACATGTGGACAAAAATTAGACCTTTAACCGAGACCGTCGAGCTAACCCTCAATGACCTCATGCTTATAAAAATGGATGGACCGGACATAAATTTCAAATCAGCGGTGTCTTAAAAAGAATCGTCGTGTCTTTTCTGTTATGACGATGAAGTAAATTAAATCATGTGACTGTGAAGTACGTCCTATAAACATTTTTTTGTTATCTGCATTCATAAAAGGAGATAAAATAATATTCTTGTGTACTATATATAGAGGATATTTGTCGTTTTAGAGTGAATAACATATTTTATTTCATCGAGAAGCAAGAAAACTTATATTTTCACGAATGCGTAGCATGAGTGAAAACATAAACGTTTTCTTGCTTAGAGATGAAATAAAATATGTTATTCACGACAAAACGACAAATGTTCTATTTATTTTATGATTTTACAATCATTTTAGGTAAAAACAACTAGCCAGTGGAATAACACTTTTATTTCACTGATAAAACGCGATATTCCACTACTGATCATAAAATAAAAGTACATATTAAACATTTATTTTGTCCGCGATATCACCTCGGTGGAAGCGGACGTAAAATACAACAAACACACACACACATTTATTTTCATTTTTAATTAACAAACATATGAATAAAAATGATATAAAATATTTGGCTAAAACTTTCTGAATTGGCTAATAAAATTTTGAATTGGCTAAAAATTTGGCTAAAGGTTTTAAGAGTCTAGGGCGGTCACTGACAGGTCATTCTCATACTCAGCACAAAGTCCATTATAATAATTATCTAGATATTTTATTACATTCAAAAGTCACTTGAATCTGGATCACATTCTAAGTTCTAAAACTCTCTATTTATATGGCACTTCATATACTTATCAGCAGAGCATCACTTTGAATTATCATCATTTTTTGGAATAAAAATGTTTTTAGGCTGTGGAATATATTCAGGATCTTTGTGCATGTAGGGCATAAAAGCTGAAAAATACACATATAAATGCATAAATATTTCATCACATCTGTTTCGAGAACATTAAAGACTCCACTTTTATAATATTTCTACATTAAAAATTGTAATTATGAATAAATATTTTCCTTTCTTGTTAATATGACACATAGAATCACCAGAAGAATGATTAAGAGTGTGAGAAAAATAGGGCCAAGTGTTCATTGAACAAACGTAGGTCATTATGGAACTAGCCTATCAATTATCTTTAATTTCAATAATACATTTCCACACAGGGGTCTTTAGCAGTGAGAGGAAATCAGAAAGATAGGTTGCCAGGCAACAAAACATACGCCCACTGCAACTAAATCGTCCGAGCGGTCGACAAGGGTTGTCGCATATTTATTCCTTTGTAGGTAATTGGGACCTTTACAAGACAATTCCATGCAAATCAGATTATAAATTTTGTCGTTTGAGGGTTTACAAGGTTCTACAAACTGAAACAAGGGTCTCAACTCTGGAAGTAATCTACAGAAATTGTTGAAATTTGACAGGCTTTTTCGTTTTACTAAATTAAATAATGCATATAAATTTCATACAGATCACATGATCACTTTTGTCATTTAAACGTTCACAATCGCCATAACTCTAGAAATTATTGACTAAATTGCTGAAATTCAACAGGCCTGTTTCACAAATTTAAATGATGCATATAAATTTCATACATATCGGATGATAACTTTCATAAATCGAGCATTAACAAGGTTTAACAAAGTGAAACAAGGGCAATAACTCTAGAAGTAATTATTGTAAATTGCTGAAATTCAATTAGCTTTTTCGTTTCACTAATTTAAATCGTGCATATAAATTTCACAAAGATCGGGTGATAACTTTTGGCATTAGAGCGTTCACAAGGATCAATAAAGTGAAACAAGGGTCATAACTCTAGACATAATAAACGGAAATTGCTGAAATTCAATAGGCTTCTTCGTTTCAGTAATCTAAATAACGCATATTAATTTCACAAAGATTGGGTGATAACTTTTGGCGTTGGAGCGTTCACAAGGTTCAATAAAGTGAAACAAGGGCCATAACTGACGTAATAAACAGAATTTGTTGAAATTCAATAGGCTTCTTCGTTTCACTAACTTAAATATTGCATATAAATTTCACAAAGATTGGGTGATAACTTTTGGCGTTGGAGCGTTCAAAAGGTTCAATAAAGTGAAACAAGGGCCATAACTCTAGACGTAATAAACCGAAATTATTGAAATTAAATAGGCTTCTTCATCTCACTAATGTAAACAACATATATCAATTTTAAAACAATTGGATGATAACTTTTGGCGTTAGAGCGTTCACAAGAAATTGTGGACGATGGACGGACGGACGGATGGACGGGGCGACGGCAATATAGTCCACATTTCAATGTGGACGTATAAAAATCACATTGAGTTAGGCAAGCTGCATTATTCTGTGTCACATGCAAGCACACATATTCGACTTTATAAAATAATCATCAGTTGAATCACTGAAGCAATATGTTCAAAATTTAGTCCAAAAACAAGAATACCAAGCCACAAAGGTTACATTGAAGACTTTGGAGTGGACTGGAAAATATTACCGACCTACCTAGCGTTCTCGCTCTTTGGATCAACCTTGATATATGGTTCTGCATGGGAATACACAGCCCAGTTCTATTGCGAGGAAGTATTCTTCCAGAATGTTGTGAAACAAATTGACTGAGAAGCTCAACATTCTGAAATATAAAATAAATTAATCATATACCGGGATAGTGGTCAATAACTCAACTCTTTAAAGAGACTACAATACATACGTAACTAACATACGAAAATTAAATGGTAGCTGGCTTTTTTTTCACTTCTCTGCAGGTAGGGTGAGTCTGTCGTTCAGATGAACTACAATATGGTAATATCTTTTAATCATCAATCATAAGTCAGAAGAAATAACCCTAAAAGTGCAATTCCAGAAATTTCCCTGAAAATCGGGTATGAAATTAAACTCTACAAAGTGAGTACAGAACTGTCATTTATCAACTATCATATCAGTCAGGGTAATAACTCCAAATACAAATTATTCTTAAAGATTTAAATAAAATTAAACTAATGGGGTTAAGAACTGAATTCTGTAGAATAAGTATAGGTATGTTAATTTTAATCAACAATCAAAAGTAAAAGGTAATATTAACAACCTGTGGACTACTTTTGCGAAATTTTAAAAGCAATAGGGTCCCTCATCAGTAACTATTTTTGAAAATTTGATGAAATTTGATCAAAAACTAACTCTGTAGATTGACAGATCTACCAAAGGAAAATTGCAAGGACATTATAATAACTATAAAACCACATTAACATGTTGGCATATAAAAAAAGGAGTAGCGTATAGTCTCAAGGTATATTTTTATGAAACCACAGAATAAAACTAGTTAATTCTGTATGAATCCTTATGGAGTTCACGATAACTCTCATGATATAAAGATGTCTATATAAGTTCCTGGATAGCCATGTCTATATTGCTAAAGTTACCCTGGTATATTAAAAGACCTTTTTTGCAGTGGTTGTCTAAATGGGAACTAACAAATATAAATAATTATTACCTTGTAATCGATATATACATTGCGTGTACATAAGATACATTTACGCTGTTTTGCTTTATAAGGGTTATTCATGTTAGCAATAGGCTGGAAAACAGAAAAAATTACAAGAGTTATCAATATCAAAATTAGTTATGAAGTTAATATCCAGAATAAAACTTTTATATACGACGTCCTAGATCGCACTATTTTCCACGTTCATGCCAAATTCAATGAAACATGTCAAATAGTTAGGATTATATTTCAGTCCCATCCTAATGAAACATGTCAAATTGGTAGGATTTTCATTTAGCATGAAAATGAGCCCATACAGGTAAATTTCCAGATTTGATGCATTGATTTTAGCATATACAGTAAAAGGAAAATTATATTAATAAGTATGTATTCTTATCTTCAAATCAATGACTAATTCATCAATACAAAATAATTAAGTTGAAGATTCTCGGTATAAAATTCTCAGGTAATATTTTCTCAAGTATATACAATGTCTAACATCTACATGTATTTTGGTTTTGCCGTAAAGTGGGTAAATAAAATGACCCAGTATCCAAATTTTAAGTAATCACAATCTGATAATTAAAGTGCATTAGGTAAGATTAGATAAAGAGTTGACAGTTCTCGCTATAATAGTTAAAAAATAGATAATGAAAAGAGAATATACTGAAAATTTCAGTCAAATTACTTTACTCTGAGCCTAGATATCAACGATACAATTATAGTCTAGCCTTGATTGTCAAAACTACCATTGTTACCATAATAAACATAGTCTCGATTATCTATTTTTACGGTAACCGCATCGACCCCAAAACGTATTTAACTCTAGTTATATCGCAGCCATCTGATGGCATCAAGTGTTGATTATTGTCTTGGTAAGTTAATTAATGTCTAATCAATAATTTATATAACATTCCAGGCCTAAAGAAATACCTGCAATAGGCAGAATTAGCTCTTGCATAATGCCTGTTTAATAAAACAGGTGACTTACTTCATCACCCTCAATTTCTCCTAAAAGCCTTTTAACTTCTTCATGATTAAAAGTATCTTTTTCATGCCATTGTTGCTCTTCTGCTGTACTGATAGAGGATTTTATTTCTGAAGATTTGATACTAGAATTTACTGGATGGATGCTGTCTGTGGAATACTGATGATGACTGATTTTGTTTAATGAAACTAAAAACACAAAGTACAGTTGTAATTATACTATCAATGAAATATCCTTGCTCAGCATAACTGAAAAGATACAGGCTGATCAATGAAAAAAGTCTGGTGTCTGCTTCTGCATATTGTCAGCTGTTAGACTATGCAAAAATAAAAATAGAATATGAGAAGAGGGACGGCAACAGTCCCATGACAATGTGACTAAAGCTGGTCAGACTGATACATCTGCATGGGTACTGGATCAAGCAAAAGATACCGGCGGGGCAGAGGAGTAAATAAAAACGAATTTAAGAATCCACGCTCAACAGCAGCACTTCACTGCTACCAAGTCTGTTGTGCAGCTGTTGACTGTGGATTCTTAAATTCAAAAATAACAAATGTAAGCTTAAAATTTGTCTCGAATTTTGAAAACAAGCCCAGATGAACCATATAGTCAAATCAAAAAACCTTCACTGCTACACTGATCGCCAAAGCACGACTGGATCTATGAACCAGCGGCTACCAGGCAGTATACGCCCACATTTTCGAGAAATGGATAGAGAACAAGCTAAAAATGTGATTTTTCCTACTATCAAGGGCCATAATTCAGGAAATTACAATTCGATATGTGCAAATATCGAAAGGAACCGAGATCTTTGGGTTATAAACTTACATTTCAAGTTTCAAGAAAATCGGATAAAAATTGTGACCTCTATAGGATACACAACCTTGATATACCATATTTTTTCGCTATTTGAGAACGAGGGGCGGCCATTTTGTTTGTCAGTTTTGGGATGATTTTCACAAAATTCGAACGCATCTGTCCTTAGGGTGTAACGGTGATATACTAAAACGTTTTTTTTAAATCGGATAAAAATTATGATCTTTACAGGGTCCACAAGCTAAAAACATGATTTTTCGTACAATCAGGGGCCATAATTCAGGAAGTTACGGTCCGATGCATGCCAATATCGAAAGCAGCCGAGATCTTTTGGAGATAAAGCTATATTTCAAGTTTCGTCAAAATCGGATAAGAATTGTGACCTGTAGAGTGTCCACAAACAAATTATGAATGGAAGGACAGGGGCGATGGCATAATACGTCCACATGAAAATCTGGGCGTATAAAAAGCTATACATCTTTGATTTGGGTCAAAATAAAGTATTGAAATCTGTTGATCTAATATCTTATTTGGATTAGAGATTTAAAGGCAAGCAATTTTTTTATACATCCCTTTTGCTGAAAACTTTGTTAATGCAATAGAGGCCACAGTGTTGAACGAATTTGTTTCAGATTGGTGTGAAGCATTAGAATGAGGGGCCAAACCCTATCAATATTCAGTTCCCAAGTCACAACCTTGTTAACGTCACCTTGGTTATAACACCAGTATCAGCAGCCAATGATGATTGTTTGAATTATAGGGTGACCACCCGTCCCGCATTTCGCGGGAAAATCCTGCAAATCCTGAAAATCCTGCAAAGTCTCGAAAACTAGCCAAAATGTCTCGCAATTACTCAAATGGAAGATTTCTATAATACAGTATAGGCCTATATGTGTGATCTAGTCTCGCAATAGTCTATTCGAATTTGAGTATTACGTATTACTGTATTTCAATGATTTGTACGCGTATTTTTGGACCTAAAATAAATCTACGACTTATATTTGTTTCTCAAACATTCTGCACATGCAACACGATTCGTAAGTTTTCTGTGTCATGGCACACGTAACTTTTATGTGTAATAAATTTAAAGTCCTTGTCACACACAACCGGGGAATCGAAATCAAGCCAGTTGACTCAATGACAGACCTTATGATGATACAGCGTGCGCGTGCTAACCATTCGGCCATGCAACACCCCAATAGAAAGGCAAACATGAATGTATCTGTGTGAAAAGTTGCAATTATAACTTCAAAAGACTGACTCTACAATAGCCATCCAAAAGGTTAGGGAATAAGCCAGTAACTTTAGATTAGCCCTCGATCGATGACTTTGACAGCAATTAATGACTGCAATGGCAGTATTGCCAGGCAGCAGTACTAATGAGTGACAAAAAAGGATTGGCTGTGTTGCTAACTAAATTTGCTGTCGCTGAGGCCTGAGTAGTGAGTAACACTAGGCCTAACACTAACCTAACACTACTACTAACAACAGTCAGACAGTCAAACACGGATTCTCGTAGTTCCATGCCATGCCTATTCAAATTGACACGCAGATTTTTCATACAAATCAAAGAGGTGCTGGCTTTTGAATATGTAATACTGTACCTATTTTGTGATTAGTAGTACAATATAAGCGCTGGTAAACTCTTGGAATAGTAACCAAAATTTTCATGGAAGCCATATTTGATAACTTTCCTTTTCTTACTGCACGCGAGACTTTGTAAAGGGAGGCAACCACTTTAACTCCACCACTGAAGATGGATAGAGACCACTTTTGGTACCAGTAGTTCTTATTTTAAATGATTTGATTAACTTTGTGCCTTAAAGCTGAACTCCGGTTACAAACATACCAAAATAATTAAATGGCGGCTTGGGGGCGTTAATTTTTTTTTATTTAATTATTTCGGTATTTTTGTAACCAGAGTTCAGCTTTAATGAAGAATAATTAACCAAAAATTTGACCTATTTCCAGCATTTCAGTACTAAAAGAAAACAAACTGACTTCTGATATAAATGGACGAATCAATTTTTATGACATAAATTAGACATTTTTGCAAGTGTATCAATATCTGATTTGTCTGTGTAGTCCGGTGAAGCATATGGATTTCGTGACTACATATGCTACATATATTTCTGATCACCTCATATTCATTCTATTAATCCAGCTATCTACTAAAGAATATGGTCAATCTGTGTTCATAGTCTTTGACAGATAATGATGACAGTTTGGTGCTCTTCTACAATTTCTAGCCTAATTAAGTCCCAGGAGAAAACTTGATATGAATTCTCCTAGGGTTTGTGACAATCCAGAATTTGAGAAAATAGCAAAGGCCAAATCAATGACAGAATGCCATAATTGGAGTTCTCATTTATTTTTCTTTCTGTTTTAGTATTGGATGCATGTGCAGCATGCTGAATTAGGTGTGTATTAGTCAACTTTGTTTCCCAGTCTATAACTGTGAAGAGTTCAGAAAAGCCTTGGCAAAAAAAAAATACATTTTTGAATAAGCATCCCATATCTTTGTATCATTTGAGTTTCAACTCTGTACACTTTTACCAGAACGAAAATGTCAAGATGTCAACCTTATCTTTCATCGGATTTGGGCAACAAAATCATTGGTTCCAGTTTGTATTCAAACAGACAGTAAAAGGATTTAAATTTTATTTATGGCTATGTACTTTTCAATATTTTCTGGAGTAGAACCTAGATCTGTGGGTTTTTTCAGGTCAGACAGCTACAACAGTCTGTACTTAAACTGCACCTGATTTTCTTTGATTCACTCAAATAGATTTTATTTATTTTTTGTTTTAATATCACATAGAATTAGGGGTATTGCTCCAAATACTATAGGATTCTTCACAGACACATGCAAATGACATCAAGCTAAAATGCAAATTGGATGGATGGATAGACCACCAGAAAGAGGCTACAACAATATAAGAGGGTTGGCTGAAAATTTCTAAGTCTATCAGTACAAAGTCGATGGTTTCCATTTATTTTCCTACATAGTCCCCTTTGAGGTGCACACACTTTTGCCAATGATGTTGCAAGGCCTGGATGCTGGTCAGGAAGAAATTTTCTTCAGCCACCCTAAAAAAGTGATTCACAACTGACATGGCGTCATCATTACTAGGAAAATGACGACCGACTAGTTCCTTTTTCATTTTTGGAAACAGGTGGAGGTCTGACGGGGTCAAATCTGGCCAAAAACTCGATGGTGATAATGTGTTCAACACTCACCATGTCATGCACCCAGCGAATGTTTTCTTGAATAGTTGCTGTTGATGGTCTTTAGGGTGCAGCACAGGTCAGCGGCAAGGCTCTCTCTGCCACACTTTAATTCTGCAGCCCACTTCTTTACTTTGGAAAAGGAAGGGGCATTAATCTCTTAAGTGGAGGCCATGTGGGCATGTATCTGTGTTGGGGTTAGTCCTTTCAGTTGCAGGTACTTGATGACTGCCCTATAGCCAATTTTGTCCATTACTGGTGATTTCAATGGGTAGCTTCACAAGATGGTCTGGTACGAAGACAATAATAAAACTACAGTTGCAGTTCTTATGTCTATGATTCATTCAATGATTGTACTGGTTGGTGGCAAAAGTTTGTTTCAACCCAAATGATCTATCCTTTTCAGTCTTAGAACTTTTAAGCCAGCCCTGGTACATTCATTACCGAATTATTGCATGGATGCATAAAAAGCTAGTACATCTGATTATTTCAAATCATATCTTTATTTTACAGTAACTGTTAGACTTTAAAATATCGATCAACACCAAAGTACTGTATATGTAACCTGCAACTCACAAATTTTTTTTACTAATATTAAAGGCATGATTTTATGGAAGCATTACTTGTTAAAGCTTGGTGTTACTTGGAGATAAAGTATCTGGGCATTGTGATTGTCAACAAAAAGCTTTTTAAATACATGAAATTAATCTTCCTCATCAATCTCAAAAAGACAACCTTTCTGTTTGTTTCACTATCCATAATATAACATACCGGTAATAATCCATCAATAGAGTGCCCTCAACCCAAAAATGATGCACTGCTCAGTGGCGCAATTACACTTTGTAAAACATATATCAATATGTGACAAGAAAGTCTTGTCATAAAAGGTACCATAAAGTATACTTCAACCCTAGACTTTATGAAAATATTCCATATATCTACTTATAATAGCAGCAAATACAAATGTATATTAAAGCAGTTTTTGGTTATGGAAGCCTGGTGCATATATAATACAATCATTTCATAAATTTATAACATTATGCATTCTATATTTCAGCGAGTACACCTAAATATGCCCCATATTTACCTACAAGTTTACAAATGTTTGATATTTTGACGTAAAGTCAAGACATTATAAATTATAAAAAATGTTGGATAAAACAATCTCAAAACAGGATGCACACATCATTAATGATAACAAATATGTACAGTTTCAACTTCTCAAATTCACAAATTCATTACCCTCAAATTTATAAGCAGTTGTAGTAAAGTACTAAACAGTTGACCACCTACTGGCATGTGAAGTTTAAAATCCATAGATTTCCTGATTTCACAAATTTGTTATCATTCAAATTACAAACAATTGAAATATTGACTATATTCATATAACTATAAATTGTATAATGAAACATTTGCAAAATATGACAGACAGTGCTGTAGCACAATACAACCTGTGTTGTAGAGCAAGTCATATATACAATCAATTTATCCCTGGTCCCATCAAATATATAGTATAAAAAATTGACATAATATGTACAAACAAACAACAGATAATTTCAGTTACACATTATAAGTTTCAGCTATCAAGTAAGATCAATAAAAAGTTATATGGTACTAGTAAATCTCACATTGTTTATTATGCCATTCTGGATCAAGACAATTGTGAACATCAGTTTTAAAACTTTTAACCAAATCACAGACCAATCAATTCTAAATCCTTTTCGAAAAGAAATATTTGTTTTTCACACACAAGTTTCAGGTGTATATGCCACTCGAATATTTTTCACTCGTCTAACTAAACTACTAATATCAGTCATACAGGTCACATGTTGTGGCGTCTGGTTATAAAAATTTCTGATGTCTGCTGAATGATGATGATATCTACTGTGGTACATGGAATCAGGTCTGTCTCGAGATCTTGTGGATGAGGTTGGGGAAGGAGTCACATCAAGAGATGAAATAGATTCCTCTTCTGTGTCTGGTGATGCAGTAGTAGCTTCGTCATTTGGTGATGGCATCATATGATTGATATATTTACTGAAAACAAAATCACAAAAAACAAACAATTTATTAAATATTAATATTTAATGTTCCTCAAGACATAGATCATGCATTGTTGTATCCCAGTATCAACTTTGCTTCTAATGAAAAATGCAGTCAATTACCAACAAGACACAATTTCATATGATCCATGGGTATAAATGTTGTTTCTGTTACAATGTATTATTTTGAAACCAAATATCTTACAGTCATTCATGCATGTACCTATCGATAACGAAAATGTTATTGAGTACTAAACATGAAAAACAGATTTCCCTGAATCTTTTTCTTTACAAATATCAATATAAAAAGTCTGCTTGCTGGGCAAAATACATTTTAATAAGAAATGGGCTAGATATCAAATCACCACCTTCCAGCTGTTATTATTGACTCTGTGTTGCCACACAACAAGAGGGACTACCTGTGTAATTTAATTTATAAAGAGAAGTTGATAAAACTTACTTGTGTAGCACAGTGGATATGGGACATATGCAGGTGTAATAATCTGTGTTTAATTTTATGTCTGTAGTGAAAATTAATTTTATTTTTAATAAGATGGATGGAAAAACTAGGGAGAGTAGGAATACGTTACTCAATTCACAACACATGTACTACACAAATCTGTTTGTCAACTTCTCTTTGAATCTACAGGAAAAGGTCACGGCACAGTAGGCTTACGAAGGGTGGGTATAAGGAAGGGAAATACACTAGGACTTCATTATTAGGATGTTTTTGTGCAAGATAGGTGTCAACATGGCATCCAGTAATGTAATAGTGATATCCATGACTATAATATTTAATGGTAAAAAAGGTCTTCATAATGTGGGTGTAGCTTGCGGACCCAGCACCAGAATAATAGTCAAGCCATGTAAGCTAGTGATTAACAAACCTGCCTTGCGATAAAACTTACACTCTTATTGGTCAACAGAAAACACATAAAATTAACATAAAATTCCACGCTACATACCATACAACAATCAGAAACGTACATATAACATATACGCGAGGCATGCAGATTAATAAAAAATATCCATCCATTAGGAAAAGACTTCATTTCTTGAAGCAGACTAAAACATATTTAAGCTCTCTGAAATTTAAAAGAAATTTAGATTTTTTTTTGATCTACGTTGATTAAATGTGTTCGTTTTTTCTGCAGGGTGGATACGTTGGTAAACCTCTTTCATATAGGCCAATTTGATGTTTTATTTTGTTTAATGATGGAAATGAGTAATGAATAGGAATGGTTTTAAATTTGGGATGTATTTCCTCTATTGAAGTGTTGACATTTAAATAAAAATTTTCTAAAAAGATTGAAATCTGATGCACATTTTTGGTATCCTATATACACATATATTTAAAGGGAAATTACAGCTTTCAAAAGAAAATAACAGTAAAGCAAGGGCATTGACAGAACTACTTTAATATCACCATGGTATAGGCTATAAGATGCAGAAGTTTTAATGAATCTTAAACATCTACATCTCAGTGATCAGGCCCGGCGGAGTGGGGGGGGGGCTACGGGGGGCTTTAGCCCCCCCCCCCCAATAATTTGGCCGCAAGTACTCTTTTCTCCAGGTTATTGCGGCCCCTGGACCCACGCCTATAAGGGCCTAGGATGGAAGCCCCCCCCCAATCAAGAATTGCTTCCGCCGGCCCTGGTGATGGACAGCCAGATTTCATATATGATCTAGTTTGAATATTGCCAAATGTACCAGTAACTGTACAGTCAAATTGAATTTTTTAACCAAATACCACAAAAATCTTCATTTAGGTAATACCACGATTTAGTCCTTAGTTATCATCTATTTTGCACATGGCAGAATCTTTGCATGTTTGAACACAGCCCTTTAATTTAGAATCAATAATTCAAATAAATGTGATATTTGTACATTCTTCCTTTTCTTGTCAGTACAGGTAATTGTCTTTATGGTCAGATGATATTCTAAAGTTATACAACAGTAAAATACAAAAACAGAATAAAAGAACAGAAAAAAATATCTATTTCATGCTTTTATTGACACTAAAATATTTACATAAAATAAACAAATATAAAGAAGTTATAACAACATTAACAATTTTGAGATGACCTCAATGGAGATATCTGCTCTACACTAAAATTTAATAGTAACTTCCAGTATCAGTTCATTGTGTACTGAGGGCTGACAACATTGCCTTGTAGCAGGCACTTCTTTGCTGACAGAAATAAAAGGGGACTTAAAGTCTTAATTATCTCCACTAACTAGGCTAATGAAGACAGGCATATGCTATTCCGTGAGGAAATTTTGCCCTGACAGTGGTGGTACAACAGCAGGAGTGAACCTGGGACATCCTGGTTATTGAGCCAGTGCCACATTCACTGAGCCACCTCTTTTTTAATGGGTTATAGTGACACCTGCATAGCAACTTATTTGAACCTGTTCCATCTGTTCATGCACTGTGATCATATTTGGCTAAAATACTAAAGATAGGTTGCCAGACAAAGAAACATACACCCACAGTATTTGAACAATGCATATAAATTTGAATCAAGACATCATGGGTGATAACTCTGGAATCTATAATCAGAAATCACTGTAGTTTTTAAACTGTTGAAGTTTTTAAACTGTTGACATGTTATTGTTGTCTATTGATTAACAGACAGCAGGATTGGATAAAATAGAAATCTGATCAAAGAAAAATCTTACAGAAGTCAAATTAAGACTATGATTGTTGTGTGAATGTCAAATCTTGACTTACGGATGAATGGACAAGAGAACACATCTAACATCTAACATGTAATGCTTTGACATGTTTTAGCATAAAGGCACAACAAAATAAACTAAATAAGAAATTACATAAATGCATCAAAATTAAAGTAAATAATATTAGCATGAATAAGCATAAAATATATTATAAAATATAAACTTTGTAAAATTGCTTTTGCCTCATTTTATTGAATTCATTCATTAGTTATGGCTACCGGTTTTTGTATTCCAATTATTTACAATGCCTATAGACTTAATATAATAATCTAGTAGACATTTTTAGTCACTATATATGTACTATCAAATGGTTTATTACTATATATATATACTTCTACTTAATCAACATGCATTAAAAAAAATAATCCAGATACTAATAATATATCTAGTATCATTGCTCAAGAGGTATGTGGAGATAAGGTACCTGTCACAGACGATGTCACACACAAATTGAAGCTTTTTCAGAGCCATTTCCTCCAGTGCCAGTCATTTACCCTGGCACTAATGCTGTGCTTTAACCGATATTTTTAATATGTCTGTCCCACAAAGTTCAATATATATTTTGTCAGATACAAGTAAAATCCTTATTCACAGGCCTGCTAACAGATCTGAGGTATAGACAATATATAGAAAGACGCTTAAACACTTTTCTTTAAAAAAAAATAAGTTTTACACAGAAAAATATTTCATGCAGATGTAGGCCTAATTCATTAAGAGAGAACATTTGATCAAAAGCACTGTTGTTGTTACTGATCACTTTTATTCAAATTAATGCTAAATAATTAATAGACAATAACAGTAAAAAACTAAATTATCTTTCTATTTTAAAGTCCCTGAGCATTATTTGGGTAATGTGCGACTCCAATGGAAACTACATCAATGTAAAAGTTGAATTTCTAATAGGAATATTAGTTCACAATTCTGTTCAGTACCGGTATTTAAAAAGATATGATAAAGAGAATACCATCCATCTATGTTGCTCTCTATGTAAACAAACCCACTGCCACATTATGTTTCGAGAAATCTAATTCATTGGCGTGTTTTTAAACCAACTGAATCGAAGCCGGGCAATTAATTACCTTTGATATTCTGAATTTGATTTCTTAAGTAATTGTTAAATAATCAATGTGAGTATATATTAGTGTTGATTAAGCCGTGAGGAATTTGATATTTTCCAAAATATGCAAATTACGCTCAGTTACTTTAACAAAAGTTATGGGATTATTACAAACTTTAATGTTATTACAAATTCTATCAATGCATTATTTTTATTAAATGGTTTTACTAAATTAATTTATATTTTTTCAATATAAACATATCCAATATATCAGCATAAATAATATTGTGTTCACACATTACCTATTCAGTCAAATAAGATCTAAGATATCCTGTCACTAACAAGTAAAATATTTTCACATTTGGATATTATGGTGAAATTAGTCTGTGAAAATGACAAATTCGGCTAAAAAATATATAAAGACCAGTTCACACAAGTTTTTTTGCTGGTACACGAACATCTTTAGAAGTCACTGTAAGCTACATGTATGCAACAGTTATTTCGTGTTCCTCACCAAATATCTGTTTTGCACAATACTACATTAATTAACCAATTAAATTATCAAAGATTATTTTGTTGGGCACATAATCACTACTGTGTACTGATCTCATGCTTATAAAACAAATTTACAAATTACATAAAGCAACAAAAAGACTGACAGTGTGTATATATATTTATACCTATATAGAGTTGAAATCTAGCTTACTTGTCAGGTATATGATATATTTGATGTTTTCTAATATAATCAATAACATTATCCTGTAATAAATATTTGACACTTTCACCACGCCGTAATGCTCTCCTGAAAAAACAGAAATTCAACATCATCTCTCTTTAATCAAGATATTTCACTTTCATAAAGAGTAAAACTTGGCACATGTCAACCTTATAACCCTATCCCATGGATTGTTAATACTCAAAGTGGGTAGCAAAGCCCTTCACATAGACGTAGGCTTTTCAAGTCCCCTATATGCTCAACAGCAGAAAAGTCATTCGCTTAAATCTAAAATTATTGCCAATGGCGGACAACTTGAAAATATACCATCAAATTTTCTGAACTCCAACAGTCTTCTTACTTAAAAGCCCTGTTACTGAACATTAATGGGGAATAATTCGTCAAGAAAAAATTCTTAAATACTCTGATTGTGAAAGGATGAAGTTAACGACAATATACAACCACATTAAATGTGGGCATATAAAAATTATCAGAATAAACCAAATGTCAAGCAATATACAAAACTGTCAGCTATGCGAACTTAACACAGGACATCTCTCTTACAGATAAGCCTAGTGACAAGTGGCATCAGGTGTTCCCGAAAGAGTAAGCACATCCTGCCTTGTACATGACACCCATCACTACATGTAGCTATGAGGCCCAAACCATTCCAAGTTTATGAAGGTACAATGATTTAATGAAAAAAAAAAGAACCACATAGGTGCATGTTTGATTCTGATTCAGCATTGGCATTAAAGGCTGTTGTCTTTGAACAAGACACTTTATCCCTGTATTCAAGTCCGCCAGCTATAATTTGGTACCAGTAAGAATAAAATAGTGCAAGGTATAACTAATGTAGGATGAAAAATTAAGTAAAACAGCACATTCTATTTCCAAAAGACATGACTAATTACATGCAATTCAAAGAGTAACTCAGAAAGACCGCCTCTTTTGCTAACTTTTAAACTGAAAATCAACCTTAGTTTATCAATTTTAAACATACCTTATTTTTGTTGAACTTATATCATTAAATATCCATTCTGTAATAATATGTATATTATTCTGTAAACAAACAAAATAAATTAATGAAAATAAAATTAACAAGCCAACAGTGAGGTTGATGTCCCACAATAAATAGATCACAAATATTAATTAATTGCACATTTATCTTTTTCAAAAGTATTGAGCAATCAAACTAATCATCTGTTTAGTATAAGCATAAAATGTTCACGATCAAACTCAGTCAGATTTTGAAGTACCTGGTAGTGAATCTATACACTAAGTTTTATCACTCTCCATCAGTTTGAACCAAAGCATCGACCAGTGAAATTGCTTAGCTCTGCTTAGCTTTAGTGGGAATTATTAATCCTTTAACTCAGTCAAGACATTCACCTAATGAAGATCTATACCTCAAATTAAAAGTCTTGACCAATCAAATTGCTTATCGCTACATACGTAGCCCAAGCAGAAAATTCTCATCATCAAACTTAGTCAAGGTATTAATATAATGAATCTATACTCGAAGTTTCATCACTCTCACCAAATTAGAACCAAAGTTATCGTGTTCCAAAGTCTCAACCAATCAAATTGCTTATCTCTGCTTAGACATTCACCTACTTGACACCTACACCAATTTTGAACATTCTACCTAAATTACTAAATTAGAAGGAGAGTTTTTGTGTTCCAAAGTCTTAACCAATCAAATTAAAGTCTCTAAGCAGAAAATGCTCAGCATCAAACTATAGTATGGTATTGATGTAACGAAACTACACACAAAGTTTTACCACTATCACTCAATTAGAATCAAAGTTGTCGAGCTCCAAGGTCTCGACCAATCAAATTGCTTATCGCTCTGCTTACCCTGAGCCAAAAATGCTCATTATCAAACTTAGTGAAGGTATTGATGAGATGAAACTGTACAACAAGTTTCATAACTCTCACTTAATTAGAACCAAAGTTATCATGTCACAAAGCATCAACCAATCAAATTGCTTATCTCTGCTTTTCCCTAAGCAGAAAATGCTCATCTTGGCACTCAACCAATGCATTCACCTAATAAACCCCTACACCAAGTTTGAACATTCTACCTCAATTAGAGTTATAGTGTTCTAAAGTCTCGACCAATCAGATTGCTTATCGCTCTGCTTACCCTGAGCAGAAAATGCTCATTATCGAACTTAGTCGAGGTATTAATGTAATGAAACTAACCAAACTATACACCAAGTTTCATCACTCTTACTTAATTAAAACTAAAGTTATCGTGTCCCAAAGCATCAACCAATCAAATTGCTTATATCTGTTTACCCTAAGCAGAAAATGCTCATCTTCAAACTCCGTCATGGCATTCACCTAAAAACACCTACACCAAGTTTGAACATTCTAGAAGGAAAGCTATTGTGTCCCAAAAAGTGTGATGGACCGACAACAGACAGACCCATTTTAATAGTCCCCTGCGGTAGTACATGTATGTGTGCACATGTATATGTATCGAGGAGCATTATCATGATCAGAGTTGCATAACCTGTTAACCAATTTTGACAATTCATTCCCAATGTTTCAATATTTTATATTAGTTGTCCTATTTGGACAAAAGAAAAAGGCCGTGTCTTCACATTCTTGCAAAGATGTCCTTAATTTATATGTTTGTTGGCATAAATGCTAGGGTAAATATCCGTCCTAGGGTTAACACTTGTTTAATTTATAGCCAAAACATTTTACAACTTGACTTATTTACATATACATGTAAAAGGAAAGGCAATTGAAAGCTAAACCACACAAATTTGAAGGATTTATAGTTTCCATAACCCATTAATATTATCTAAGAACTCTTTACCTTGCATCTTGTTAAGGTATCAGATTCATAGATAAACTTGTGTGGATCACTCCCCGCTCTTGTTACACAAACTAAACCATAATTATTTATAATATCTTCTATCTGAAATATAATTTGTACAATATATAATTATTCACAATCATGGAAGAATCATCTCCGTAAGTTTACATTGGGTTGCCAGGTCAAATATGTTATCATCTTGTAGGATAAATAAAAATAAGTGGGGGTGCCCAAGTTCAGATTTTGTCGTTAATACCGTGCGGTTGAAAAGTTTTTAATCTAATAATCCAATGTAATTCAATTGTACGTCTGTTGGTTGTGGAAGTGTATAACTCAGGGTCTGAGCCAAGTTGTTTAATTATTTGGTAGTCCAGGTCTCGACTAGAATGTCTCGGTAAATTGAAGTGAGAGGTGACTGGGGTGTCTCTCTTGTTGGTAATATCAGCAAAGTGTTCTTTCAGTCTAATGCGGAACAATCTTTTGGTTTCGCCTGTGTACTGCTTTTGGCAGAGCTTACAGGTGAGAAGGTAGATGACGTTCTTACTGTGGCAAGTCCACTGGTTGTGGCATTTGTACGTTTTGCCGGTTTGGGTCGAACGGAAAGTGGTTTTCAGTTTGAGTGTATTGCAATATAGACAGTTAGGTGAGTTGCATATAGAGTCTAAATAAGCATGACTTTTCCCACTAACTTGAGGTTTACGTATGGGATTTTTGATTGTTGCTGAAGTTAATAGATCTTTTAGGGAAGGGTTACGTCTAAAGGCGGTGAGACAAGGTAAGGGGAAGGCTTTGAGGCAGTCCTGGGAGCTATGGAGAATATGCTAGTTGTCCTTAATGATTTTGCTGATATGTACCGAAGTGGGGTTGAAATTCGTAATAAACACTGGACGTTTTTGAGTATCGGCGGTGATTTTATTTCTGAGGAGGTTTATCCTCTGGATAGAATCGGCTTTGTTTCTATTGGTTTTAATAATATCTAGAGGGTAGCCCCGTTGGAGATAGTAATGTTGAAGTTTGTCAGCATGTTTAATATAATCAGAGTTGCTTGTGCAGATACGTTTGATTCTTAGAAATTGGCTATACGGTCCCTTCCGTTTGATGTGTGGCGGATGACAAGAGGTGTAGGATAGATAAGAGTGTAAAAAGAAATGTTAGAAAGTTGTCTTTCGGCTTCAAGGATATAATCGGATTTGTTGAGGATTACAACAGCTGAGCCCTTATCGGCTTTTTTAATGATAATATCGGGGTTTGTTTTTAGTTGGCCAATCGCTTCCCTTTCTTTTTACCTGCCACTAGATGAGGACCCCACCCTCGAATTCAATGCTGAAATCACACTTTTCCTAACCAAAATGTATCAATCAGGACACATTACGGAAAAAATCCTTAAAGGCCTTATTGTAGACGACCCCAAACCAGGTCGCTTCTACCGCCTACCCAAGATACGCAAATCTAGTGAACCCGGTAAAGTCCCAGGCAGACCCATTGTCAGCGGGAATGGAACCCCCACGGAATTCATCAGCAGTTTCATAGATGAACATATCAAAGACTTCGTCCCTCTTTACCCTAGTTACATAAGAGACACCACCCACTTTATCCAAAGATTGGAAGACATCGACCTAACCCTACAATCAGATGTCATTCTTGTCACCATGGACGTCACATCCCTTTACACTAACATCCCCACCAATGAGGGCTTACGAGCAGTCACTAAAAGCATCCTTAAAAATAAACCTAATTGGAGAATTGATCCCACTTATTTAATCGCACTCTTAAAACTTGTACTCACTAAGAACTTCGTTTTTAATAACAAACATTACCTCCAGATAGGCGGTACTAGCATGGGGACGAAAGTAGCCCCTAGCTTTGCTTGTGTGTTCCTTAGCGAATTAGAACAAATTATGTTAGACAAAGTACCTCTAAAACCTTTAGTCTTTGTCTGATATATAGATGATATCTTCCTTATCTGGACATATGGAAACTCCAAATTAATGGATTTCCTCCAACTGATGAACACCTTTCACAAAACTATTAAGTTCACAGCTGAACTCTCCACTCATAAAGTGCCTTCCCTAGACTCTATGGTAAGCTTTAACCGTGAAACTAAGAAACTATCCTTTGACCTATACTATAAACCCACAGATACACACTCTTATCTATCCTACACCTCTTGTCATCCGCCACACATCAAACGGAAGGGACCGTATAGCCAATTTCTAAGAATCAAACGTATCTGCACAAGCAACTCTGATTATATTAAACATGCTGACAAACTTCAACATTACTATCTCCAACGGGGCTACCCTCTAGATATTATTAAAACCAATAGAAACAAAGCCGATTCTATCCAGAGGATAAACCTCCTCAGAAATAAAATCACCGCCGATACTCAAAAACGTCCAGTGTTTATTACGAATTTCAACCCCACTTCGGTACATATCAGCAAAATCATTAAGGACAACTAGCATATTCTCCATAGCTCCCAGGACTGCCTCAAAGCCTTCTCCTTACCTTGTCTCACCGCCTTTAGACGTAACCCTTCCCTAAAAGATCTATTAACTTCAGCAACTATCAAAAATCCCATACGTAAACCTCAAGTTAGTGGGAAAAGTCATGCTTATTTAGACTCTATATGCAACTCACCTAGCAATACACTCAAACTGAAAACCACTTTCCGTTCGACCCAAACCGGCAAAACGTACAAATGCCACAACCAGTGGACTTGCCACAGTAAGAACGTCATCTACCGTCTCACCTGTAAGCCCTGCCAAAAGCAGTACACAGGCGAAACCAAAAGATTGTTCCGCGTTAGACTGAAAGAACACTTTGCTGATATTACCCACAAGAGAGACACCCCAGTCACCTCTCACTTCAATTTACCGAGACATTCTAGTCGAGACCTTGACTACCAAATAATTAAACAACTTGGCTCAGACCCTGAGTTATACACTTCCACAACCAACAGACGTACAATTGAATTACATTGGATTATTAGATTAAAAACTTTTCAACCGCACGGTATCAACGACAAAATCGGAACTTGGGCACCTCCACTTATTTTTATTTGTTCTACAACCCCCCTCACTGGGTATCCCAACTCTAGATCTTTTTTGCCTCCCTAACCTCCTATAGGTGCCACCGAGCCAACGTTCCTTATACTATTCCACGTTTAGCCATCACCACTTTACGTCATAATAGCTTACCCGACGTCATAGCAACTCTTCATTCAAAATGGACGCCTGTCATCAGTGCGGAAAAGTGTTCTCGAAAAAATGTCATCTACTCCGCCATCAAAAAGAAACTCACTTGGCACCTAAGTTTAGCTGCGACACCTGTGGCAGACTATACAGAAGAAAGGAATACATTAAAAAACACAACTGTAAGGGTGCAGCAGCAGCACCAGACCAACTCCAGGAAGCGATTGTAGCTACTATTGGAGACCTCAAGGGAAACACCCCGGCTGTCAGTGCTTCTACAGAGACACTACGTGCCGCTACTCCATCACCAGTAGCCTCGACCAGCCACCAAAACAGACGCCACCTTACCCCTTTAGGGGCTTCGTTTCCTTGTTTCCGTAACTGGGACCTAAACATCTCCCCTAGCCAACTGGAAAAACCGGAATAGGTCCGTTGACCAGAGATTCAGAATCCAGAACGAACCATCCGCTGTAAATGAAATGGAACATAACCCTCATTTGGCATGCCAATTTTCCTTTTCTGATCTTACTAATTCTACTATGATTTCCGGTTTAATAAACCATTCCATCTAACCTCTTACGTTTCCCTTTTCTTTTCTTTTCTTAACTTACTATAGCCTCCGGGCCCCAGACCCACCTTGGGCCTGCCTTCTTTTCCCATCTAACCCACCCATTCTGAAGAGTTCAATACGAACGAAACTAGTCCCCCGCCTTTGCCCGAAATCCCGGCAAAGTATAGACACGTCTACCCCGCACCATACCTAAATCTTACTTTAGGTCAATCCTGAATTGAGCCTCGATACCGAACTCCGGTATTCAAATACTCATGAACCCCGCCATAATACCACATCCTGGCAAAATAATCAAGTAACCCCGGCATAAAATACCAAACCCCGGTAAAACCCCGCCTAATACTAACCCCGGTAAATTATATTTACGGGGCCTATTATCACCGAACCCCGGTACCTGGCATATTCATGAACCCCGCCAAAATACCAAACCCTGGTATAACAACCCCGCCAAAATTAACCAAACCCCGGTAAACTGACCCCGCCAACCCGCCAATTCTCAACCTCGGTAAATACTTTTTTTACCGGGGTGTTGGGATAGTATAAATAGAACTCCGCCATCGGAGTCTAACCAGTCTGAAGAGTTCAATACGAACGAAACTAGTAACATAAAAAACTAGGGATAACTGGAAGATCGCCCATTTCTTTCAATGTTATCATCTTGGTTAAATTGATAGGTAATATGAAATGATTTTTCGGAAATTGGAAATCATAATATCAGTACTTAGTCCAAGTTTTTTGAAAAATAGATCAACATAGCTGAAGTAAATTGTACCATTCTCACTAACTTCACTTAACGGTCCACTGCAACAAAACCATTACTATTACAGGATTCATATGGCTCATAAATTTCCACAAATGATTATCTATTAGATGTGATAGTTATTATCGTTAACCTTAGATATTCCATGCCAGATTGATAAACAACTACAAGTAATTAAACCAACCTGCCCCTCACCTAATACCTGTATGTATGAACTATGAACTTATACCAAAAAGTTCCCAAGAGAAAATTTAACTTTATTTTGGACAGTAATTTACATTTAAAGGGGCGATTACTTTTATAATACTTATGTACAACCAAATATTTGCTTATAAGGCGGGAAAAACAGTCTAAATGTATGGACACCATAACTGTGGAAATATAAATTCGAAAATCAAGTTTCTGTTTTGAAAGTTTGTAGACAAATAAAGACTTACATCTTCCTCTAACCATAAACCTGGTGTTCCAAAAGATTCTAATAAATCAGCACCACACAATAACTTTAACTGTACAGATTCTTCCTCTAAATTAATTGTTGGGATATTGTTAGTGTGACCTGAAAAGAAATTAGACATTTTTAAAAAACAAATTGTCAAGCAGACTTGACATGTACTATAATATTCAGAAGAATTCTGACATATCAGCATCTTATTCAACAGTTGGTTGACAGGCATACTTCACAGTGATCACATCAAACAAATTTGGTGGAACTTGTGTAACAGGAAGGACAGATAACATTTAATATCAAACTTAGTAAAGTCAGTGGGGGAAATGAAATTATACACCAAGTTTCATCAAAGTTATCATGTTCAAAAGTATCAACCCATCAAATCCCTTATCTCTTCTATCCCAAAGTTTTGACTAAATCAAATTGCTTATCTCTATTTAGCCGAAGCAAAAAATGCTCATCACTGTCACTGAACTCAGTGAAGGCATTCACCTAATGAACATATGCACAAAGTTTGATCATTCTAGCTCAATTAGAAGTATTGTATCCAAAATAGTGTGAAGGACACACAGATAGACAAAACCATTTTAGTAGTCCTCCATAAAAGTTCTACAATAACAATGTAAACATTTGTAAAGTGCTATGACACACTCTCAGTATGCTCAGGGTCATCTTAAGAGCATTACAAGCCCCTGGGCAAAGCAGTGCATTGGGGCCCCTACCTACACAACCACTTACAGTAATAACAAGATGACTAGTCATCACCATCCCTCACCCTTGCACTTGTTTGGAAGGCATAAGGAAAAACAACTTCTTGGAATATCAATGGCACTAGCCAGAAGATTCATACTCTGATCACAGTAGCTGCCTGGACAAGGCAGGGTCGCTACTCCCTGTAAGGTTTTCACAACAACCTTTGCCTACTTCAATCAGCTGCTGTATGTTAAACAATAAGCTTATACATCAGGAAATAAAATACTATAATAGGTTGCAACCTCATGGGTTTTCTCTGGGTCCTCCAGTTTCCTCCCACTGCTAAAGACCCCTACGCGCAAGCCAATTATTGAAATAAAAAATTAAACCATATGTTAGTCCCGAAATGACCTAGTTTGTGTCGAGTGGACGTTAAAGCCCATTTCTCTCTCACTATAATAGGTTGATGTTTGTACAAAATTTCAAAAAGATTTCTTGAACAGATAATGAAATATGCTCCGGAAACAAAATCAGGGTGGAAGGAAGGTCATCAGAAATTAAAATAATAGGTAGATGAATGTGAAAGTGTTATAAAGATATCTTGAACAGTTTGTGAGATATGCTCTAGAATAATTATATACCAAAAACTACGGTAAGTCTAATGTGTAGTAAAAATTCAAAAATCATTCAACATAGAAATTTGTTTCCATGGATACACAAAAATTATCAATTCCAAGAATTTTTTAACAACTACTATCACAGGCTGATGTTTGTACAAAGTTTTATGAATATATCTTGAATGGTTTATGAGATATGCTCCGGAAACAAAATTGTACACCAAAAACTAAGTCAATTTTGTCTCCATGGAAACAAAAAAAATATAAATCCGAGAAATTCCTAAATAGCAAAAGGCACATCTTATGTAATAGGTTGATGCCTGTACAGAGTTTAATGAAGATATTTTGAATGGTTTATGAGATGCTCCGGAAACAAAACTGTACACCAAAAACAAAGTTGAATTTGATTCCATGAAAACACAAAAAACATATATCCCTGGAATTCCTAAATAGCAAAAGGCACATTACTGTAAGAGGTTGATGTTTGTACAAAGTTTCAAAAAGATATTTTGAACAGTTTATGAGATATGCTCCGAAAACTAAATTGGGACGGATGGCGCAGGATAAAAATGCAGATGTCCACTTGTAACACAATGACAAATATTCATAGTAGAGTATTTACTTATTGACAGCAAGTCACAGTATACATAGATTTATTGGGATTGGAAGCCCTATGCTCATGGTGTCCACCCATGCATTATGACTGCTTTGTATGCTCATAGTTACACACAATCCAAAATGTCATAGTATGTGACAAAGCCTTTCATAACGTCATAATTTTATTTTCATAAAGTAAGAGAATAAACTGTATGTCATGTCATGATGGATACAAATCAGGAAATTCTCTACATTTAAACCTCGGAGGATTTTGTTTCTGTTCTCAGTTCATAAATCACTTGAATCCGCCTTGATAAACATTAATGAATAGCATATTTATTTTTCTAAATAAAGCTGCAGACCAAATCCATTCAATAGAACGGTTTTCACATCAACAAAAGTTTCTCTATAGATTCCACTATAATCATTCTAACAGTTCCACAAAAAAAGGGGAGAGGAAGAGAAATAGTTTAAAATGCTGTCAACATAAACTAGGTCATTTTGGGACTATGTATGGTAAGTCTTTACGCAACGATTTGCTTCCTTGTTGAAGTTTTTAATTAGCAGTGGCGGTAAAATGCAGTTAGGCATACAAGTATGGGATCAAAACCACAACACTAAACACTTCACCAAATGACACACCACACAAATCCCTACACCAAAAAAAAAACACCTACTGACATAAGCTTCATAAACTGAAACTGCATTTCAACATATTTCACAGGTAAAAACATTACAAACCAAAGTGATTTATTTAAACATAAAAAATAATTCATTTTCTTAGTTTCTTAGATCTGAATTAAATATTTGACTGTATTAAAAACCCAACAATTGGAACACAAGGTATACATGTAAATTTATCATACTGATTGGAAAATATCAATAATACAACTTGTCTAATTCTGGAGTGTTAGAATCTGTAAAATATTGATTTTATGCCAAAATCAGATCTTCGGTAAATAGACTAACCCATAGTCAAGAAATATCAATTTAACTTATGAATAGGCTAGTACAGACATTGCAGATTGCCAGGAAATCAGACAATTACTAAGGAGATATTAATTGGTAAAAGTTAAAACACTTAATTAGACCAATGACGTTCAATTTTTCCCTTCCTATTCTACATGTGTTAGCAGAAATTACTTCTTCCATTATATCAAAAAATTTTGAATAATTTAGATACATATATGAAATGAAATGAAATGGGGTTTAACGTCCTACTGTTCTAATGAAGACGAGCATATGCCATGCAGTGTGCTATGAGGGAAATTTTGCCCGGACAGCGGCGCTATGGCCTACTCTTACATTGTATCTTGAATTCCAACTGTCAAGGGTTCTTTTACATGCACGCCAATGTGTACACATGACCTCGGTTATTCTTCCAATTCATCCTACACCACTGACACCGGGGAAGTACACTGAAAAATCCCAATGAACGTTTTAGACCAACGCAGGGAACAAGCCAATGTCTAACCCACTAAGTCAAAGTGGCTCCTAGATACATATAACTTGGCGAGTCTTTCTTAACCATACCTAAAATTTGTAGCGGAAGAGCATTTATTTTATTTTTGCTTCTTTGAAAATATCAGTTATCTCATGACAATGTACTATGGTAATTTTATTTTCTTTTTATAGACTGGACAGAGGTAGCAGAAATCAGACCTTTAGTGGAAATTTTCATAATGATTGACATCTTGAACACACAAACTAATTACTTGACTTGCTGATTTAAGCCAGGGAAAAAACAAAAATTTGCCTTAGCAATAGAACAGGATACACTGCTCAAAAGGTAAAGTCTTTATCACATAAAAATTAAATGAATAATGATAACATAACGGCTGAACACAGTTTACGTAGCTGCTGACTAAAACAAGAAACAAACTAAGCCAGGGAAAAACAAAAATTTTCCTTAGCAATAGAACAGGATACACTGCTCAAAAGGTAAAGTCTTTATCACATAAAAATTAAATGAATAATGATAACGTAACGGCTGAACACAGTTTACATAGCTGCTGACTAAACCAAGAAACAGAAACTAAGTGATAAACCTACAGGTATGCTTAGGGATGCCCAAAAATATTACCATGATAAAAAAAAAAGAAATACAAACTCATCAAAAAACATAATCTAATTATTTCATAAATATTTAATAACAATTGATGTCTGTGCTGAGTTATCATTTTTATCATAATCCCCAATGATTCTTAAATCTAAATGATCAATACAGAAAACAAAAGATTACTATGTGTAGGACTAAAATAATTAATATACTAATTCAATAAATCATATTGTTTTCTACATCTGCCACTTAACACAATTATTCTAACAACACATGATGTATTCTTTAACTTTCATTATCAATATTCACTAGACCATAGACACAATTACTTTACTTTAAACAAATTTGACAGTTTTTATTTACTTTATCATTAACGATGTTATCATTTTATTTGATTTGGCAGATTCACAATCTTTTGCGTTGATGAGCATTTTCAGTAATTTGGAATATCTTAAAGATACATTATGGGAGATTCGATAACGAGCTGGCAGTTCTCACTATAATAATTAAAAACTAGATAACGTAAAGACAATTTGCTGAAAATTTCATTCAAATTTATCCACTAGGAACCGAGAACGAAGCGAATGAAATTTCTGCCTAGCCTCGGTCATCATTACTAAAGTCAGTACGATAAACAGCATAGTCTCGATTATCCATTTAATCGTTCAATCGAGAAGGAAAGTTATGCAGTAAATCGGCTCACAATCCACTTAAGATCGTAGGCTAGCGATGCCATCTAGAGTTGATTATGGTCTGATTAATGTCTAATTAATAATTTAGATAACATTTCAGGCCTAAAGAAAGACCTGCAATAGACAGATTTAGCTCTTGCATAATGTATGTTTAATCAATAGATGTAAGCCTATTCAAAGTCTCTGAGTTTGATTTGACCTATATTGGAATCGCTTGCAAAATACGAAATACTGTATCAGTTGAATTTCTGAAAGCAATATCAATCCAAAAATGGTTTAATTCTATTCAGTATTTACAAAGATATGAAGAAATGAAATTTCATCGATCTATGCTGCTTGCTATGTAAATGGTCAGTACACTGCCATCTTTATGTATTGCGAAATCTAATTTAATTGATGGGCCTGTTTTTAAGCTGGGAGATTATTTAGCGTTGAGATTTTGTTGTCTTA